TTCGAATATCTGATGGTAGCATTAGGTAGTGTACTGCATAATGAATGGAGTTTGTTCAATTTTATTGATGATTTGATGGTAGCACTAGGTAGTAAACTGCAACTGGTTGGAGTTTGTTGGATTTTATTGATGATTTGGTGCTAGCATTAGGTAGTCAAACACAGATGGCTGGAGCTTGTTGGGTATCTTCAGTTGCAGTGACTTATGTTGTGTTGTTTGGATGAAAGGTTGGATTACAAAGTTTAATATGGATAATGAGGCATTTGATGATGGCAGAAGGGTAGATTTCTAGTTTGCTGACAGGACATTGGAGTTTTGTGGGTGTGCAATTTAGATCGGTGTGTGGGGATCAGAGAGCATGTGCCATCATTGAGTTTAGGATGGCTTGCTGCATTAGCAAGGCTTGACCGCGGAGGACTGTAGCTTGTTGGGGTATCTCCATTTGCAGTGACTTATATTGTGTTCTTTAGATGAAAAGTTGGATTACGGAGTTTAATACGGATCTTATGGGAGTTTTAGGTTGATGGGGTTGGAATTCTAGTTTGCTGATTAGAAACTGAAGTTTTGTGGCTGCGCAATTTGGATTGGTGTATGGGCATTGTGGAGTCTGTGCCATGATTGAATTTATGAGGAAAATTTGTCGCCTGTTGTTGTTATTGGTATAGATTGATAGTGTTATTGATTACGCTCGATCGATTGGGTGGGTTAGACTAATATTTTTTGCTGCAAAAACATTTTTTAATATATCGCTGATCAGCAGCTGCGTTGGATTGTTTGTCATGTATGTTGAGTAGAGTCATTGGCAGGTCGATCGTTTTTACAACACCTTCCTGCGAGTAAGACGCCATATTTTTATGTAAGGCGGGGAGATGATGTAATTGGTTGTTACTTATCCGGTTAATTATGTAATTGCAAATCTTGGCGTTTAAACTGTATGGTGCGTGTGTGGCTGCTGTGAACATGAAAAATTCCTGTCTTGCTTTCCGTGTGTGGATGATCTAATGGTTTTCATCCATTTTTTTGTGTCTCTTTTTTTGAGATGATTATCCAGGGTGAGGATCGGGAAAGCCCCGGAGGAAAGGGAGATGAACCCAAATAGGAAATCAACTCTTGAATTGTCTCTGCGCGCTTATGCTGATAAGAAGGATGGCCCTGTTCTCTGTCCAAGTATTGGAACAAGCTTTGACTCTATTGACGAGGCTTATGAGTCCTACAATCTTTATTCATGGGAATGTGGTTTTGGAGTTAGGCTCGCGAAAAGTAGACTGAATGTCGAGAGGAAGAGATGCATGCAAGAGATCGTGTGTGCTTGTGCAGTATGTAATTCGGAACCCGCACATTTATTATGCTAGAGCGTTAGGTTAAGGTGCAATGAGTATGATTTCTGGCATTTGACAAGTTGGCTCTGCTTTTTTTTTGCCCTTTGCAGGGCAAACCAATCAGGGAAAACAGCCGCTCGTCCAGGTGTGGCTGCAACGCCATGATAAGACTGTTGCGGTCAAATGACAAAGGGTGGTATATTGCAGAACACAAAGATGCCCATAATCACCCGCTGTCTTTGACGTGTGGGCAGAAGCTGCACTGGAAGTTTCATAGACATATAGATAGATACACCAAGGATCTAGTGAAACAGTTGAGAGACAATAATGTGGGGCTTGGAAAGGTGTTCAGTATCGTTGGTAGTTTTTTCGGTTCAGTAGATAATGTGCCATTTACGAAGAGGTCGTTGAAGACGCTCTGTCGGAAACTAAACAAAGAGCAGTCTGACATGGATGCAATGAAGATGATGGAGATTCTGTCTGAGATGAAGGCTAATGATCCTGATTTCAATTACACAGTGCAAGTGGATAAGGAGAGCCGTGTAAAAACACTGATGTGGGTAACAAGCAAAGGTCTTGATCAGTACAGGTGCTTTGGAGATGCAATTACTTTTGATACAACGTACCGCACCAATCTATATGATATGCCTTTCGGTCTTTTGTTGGAGTTAACAATCACTTTCAAAGCATAATTTTTGGTGGTGCAATGATGAGGGATGAGAAAGAGGACACATTCAAGTGGATATTTAGGGAGTTCATCCGCATGGTTGGCGGGAAACACCCGTAGACGATTCTTACTGGTTAGTTACAAATGAACTTTGCTGCTCTTGACTGGTTGCATATTGTTGAAAAAAATATAGATGTGCTGAGTCTAATGCCCGCTTAAAATGTAATGCAGACCACGCGCGTGCTATGGAGCTGGCTATTGCGGCAGAACTACCAAACACAGTACACCGTTGGTGTAAGTGGCACATTTTGAAGAAGGCGAAGGAGTCGATGGGTGTGCTCTGGAGCAAGGACAGTAAATTTAAGATGGGGTTCCACAAGCTTCTACATCACATGATCACAAAGGAAGAATTTGAAGCTGGTTGGCAGGACATGTTGGAAAATTACAACTTGAGGAAGCATCCATTCCTGACGCAGATATACGAGGTGCGGCATAAGTGGGCAAAGCCATATTTCAGAGGCGTGTTTTGTGCAAAGATGACTAGCACACAACGAAGCGAAAGTGCTAACCATCTGCTGAAGGGTTATGTTCCACCGGGGTGCCCTATGCACCTTTTCTTGAAACAATTCGAAAAGCTTCAGTTTGACAGGGCGTCAGAAGAGAGCTTCCAAGAGAAGAGGAAATTGCTAGTAAGTTTTTAGCTGAGAAAAACTGTCCTAGAATGGTTTCGCGTTAACCTTCTTAATACTGATTTCGTGTGCTCTTGTGTGTTCTGTTTATTTGTAGAGTGGTGTCTCACTTCGACTAAACCTGCCAATAGAGAGGCATGCTAGCAAGGTGTACACCCGAGCCATGTTCGAGAAATTTGGTGAAGAACTGTATAAATGTGGCGCACATGTGTTGGATGAGATTGTACCGAGAAAGATTTACAAATCAACACATTTAGATGTGGCGGCAAGAGAAAAATGGAGTAAGGTAGAGTTCAAGATTGAAGTGAATGATGACAAGAGTTTTTTTAGTTGCGAATGTGGCACATTTGAACACTCTGGCTTGGTGTGTTGCCATGCATTGCAGGTGAGGGTTGTTTTTGCTTGCTCTCTTCTTGCCGTATTTGTGAGACATTTGCTCCATAATGAAAAAAAATCACTGATTTTTTAATCTAGGTTATGGTGTTGTTCCGTTTATCGAAGATACCCGAGAAACATATAATGAAACGATGGACAAGAGATGCACGAGATGTTCTTCCAGCACATTTGGTACGGTACCAAAGAGACAGAGGCCCTCCTTCTAGTGACACATTCAGGCATCACACAATGTACATGAAGGCGCTTGAATGTGTGTTGCTTGGTGATAGTAATGTTAAGTGCTATGATGTTTTCATGGCTATGATGAAGGAGGTGCAAGCCGCTCTCGTGCCGTTAAGCAGTGATAAGGATGGCATGGGACTAGCCGAAAGGGAACAACAAAATCAGTTGCTTGTTCAGAACGAGCAAGAGGCACTCGAGTTGCAAGGCTGTGCGACAGGGTCTGAGTGTGATGGTGAATCAAGTTGTTCAGTGATTGCAGGACAGCAGAACAAACGGCCGAGGGGTAGACCTACAACAAGCTGTGACAAAGCTCCGTATGAAGAACATTTGAAGAGATCGCGGTTCTGCACGATCTGCAGGGGTCAGGGCCACAAATGCACAACTTGCCCAGAGAGAGGCGATCTGCCCAAGGCGCCAAGGAAATTGCCAAAGTGTTCAAATTGTGGTGTGCTTGGACACAGGCGCAATGCTTGTGGCACCAAGAAATCTAGGCCGTTCGAGCCCAATTTTCTGTAAGCGACACTGCTGTACACTGTGTGTTCATTTTCATCTTCGCCAGGACCAAGATCTGCGTACGGATTTGTCATCTAAACGCGGGTATTTCGTACTTAACATTAGCGGTGATGTAATTTAATGTTTTCTATAGCCTGCAAATCTGTGCTTTGCGTGTGCGACAGCTTGCTGTTGCTGATGTTGTGATTTGTAGACAAGGCTGCAATCTATGGGATATCATTTTTATTTTGGTGAGCTTAAATGAGTTGGTAATCGCAAGTCTATTTCAGAACCATTGTTTTCGGTCGAAGGCATATGCTTGGCAAAAACTGGGGAGAAGAACCTTGGCCTCCGTGTGTGCGTGTGGTAAATAGTGATGTGATAGAGCAAAGATACGACCGATGACCAAAGCCTAAATGACAGAGGCACGAGCCTAGTTTTGCATAGGACGTTTGAGTATAGCATGGGCGCATGGTGAGCACGCCTAGACTGTGGACACAGGTGTGCCTGTCGCATGGCACAGGCATTCAATGCCTGCTCGCACGTCTCTGGTTTGGGCATGTCATGCATGTGGCTGACTGCAAGAACAAGAATGGCATGCGTCTTGACGAATGAGGCATCGACTTGTGTGCTTGTTCAGCGTGATGGTAACCATCAAGATGCTACAGCATTTCTCGTTGATCAATTCGACGTTTTAAATCCGAGTTTCCAGGGAAAAAATTAGCATAAAAAACATGCACAAGTTTGACCTGGCGGGGATTTTCCTCATAGTTGATCGGCAAGTGCCTCGGCTAATTGTGTCATGGGCAATGCATAGCCATGCTAGATCGATGCGTGCTGCTGGCTGCCTGAAGTGACGGGTGATGGAAGCGCTGCTACCAAGATTTCTTCACACTGGACATGATGACAGTGCTTTTGTGGAGCGCACGGCATGGAAGTTGGCTGACAAGATGTATGCACAGGTCCAACACGCCGTCCATGTGTTCCCGTTTTAACACGCACAGATAGCCATGGCCGGAGCGGTGGAGAAAGCGTAGTATCTAGGCATCGCGTGTGTGTTCCTTGTCCACAAAATTCAAATTTGAACTCCACACCCCATGTGACCCTGATGGTTTGAATTTTGAACTTCGTTGCTCTGGAGGGAAACCGAAAACTTTCGCTCTCTATATATACAGGTGGCGCGGAGCAGTGGAAATCCATCGAAACCAGTCGAAGATGGCGCCCAACAGCACGGTTTCCCCAGCTTCAGTGCTGACCGAGGCGTCCATCTCCACGCTGGCACTAGGCGGTGTGCAGGTTAGTAGTTGTAGTTAGGAACTAACCATGGTACGCAACTGATCTTGTGCAATCCACTTAAAAAAATGTCTTCCATGTACATGTGTTTAGTGATGATGTAGGTTTGGATGGTCTCGTTTTCCCTGATCCATCGTCCGTTGTTGACAGCCTTGCTGACGAGGTCTCGGATCTTTACCTAGTTTTGATTTGTTTTTCATCAGATCGCCTTGTTTGACTAAAAATTAACATGAATAATCGTTGCGTAGGCTAGTGTAATGGCACAAGGTCCGATGATCGACACGGAGATTGCCTTGGGTGCACCGGCAGTGGCTAATGTGAGTTTTTTCCGGTTTTTGAAATGCCATTATGAAAGTTCTTGCATGTGATCTAATTTAGGGTGATCATTTTTTTGTTTACAGGTTGATCATGCCGTGGACGCCCCTGATTGGTGGTTGGAGGAAGAGACAGCAGATTTTGACCCTTGCGTTGTACCTGCGGTCGCGGTTGATGCATGTGAGCTGTTGGGTGGGGACGAAATGTCGGTGACAGGTGCTGGTGAAGCTGGGAGCGAAGAAGACGATGCGGAGAGCCGCCCATGCAAGCGTGCTAGAATATGAAAATTCCACGATAACATGTATTAGGTTGATGCATGCAAATGCTTGTAGTTGCTTGTACTGCTTTTGCTGATATGTAAGCGGAGTCTCACTAAATAATGGAAGTATTTGCCATGTGCATTTTTGGTATTTCGATTGAATTTGCTGGCCGTTCGACAGAAAGATGACGTTGATTGACCCTTTTTTTAATTATTATTTTTTTGGAAGCAAAAAATTGCGTCATGCAAGAAAACAAATATTTCCGCGTTGTGTATGCTAATAAGATTTTTTTGTTTGATTAGTTGATTTAAGCGGGGCTGGGAGCTTAGTTGAATCAAACTAGATGCTATGGATGGGATGGAATGGAGAGGTGTGGTGCCTCCAGACGGCATACGTGGCCCATTTTCTAGCCACTTGGTCAGGTTGTGGACATGAGCACAGGGGCACTAGTACCGGCGCATGTGTATAAAATAAGCTCCCTGGGCCGAAGCCTCCCAGCACAGAGAACAAGCACAAGTGAGAAAGAGGAAAGCAGGCTTGGGGAGAAGGAGAGAAGCAAAAGGTATGTGCTAGTGCTTCCATGGCCTCTCGGTTTTCTTCTTCCTTCCGATGTTCCATTTCCTCGACTTCTCACTTGCTCCTCTTCTTCTCTGGTGTGCCATTGTGCAGATCGCTGTTCCAGATGGGCCGGAGGTCCAAGCTCTCCTCGCCGGCAGCTGCGCCAGATGGAGCTTCTTCCTCAACTATGGTGCCCGTGAAGAAGGTGCCCACACTCAACACGGCATACAATTCGGGGATGCTGCATTCCATCGCCGGAGAATGGAATCCAAACATAAAAGGTGTGTTTTCCGGGATAGGCATGGAGGAGTTGTGCAAGATCAAGGACATGGGCAACAATAACCGTATCTTTAGCATGTCCCTGTTAGCTAGGATAGATCCTAAAGATATGAAGATGGATATGGGCGATGGGAATCATGTTGTTGTCAATTCTAGGGAGGTGGCGAAATGTATAGGGTTGTCGCCGTGTGGTAGGAAGATAGATATCCCGGGCGGGGCTTGCTTAGCGAACAGGGAATCCTTGCTAGAGAACTTGCATGCCATCTTAGACACCACTATGTCTAGGGCAAGTAGGATCCCTATCGTCAAAGTGAAGAAAATCATACAAAACGCAAGCAAGGTAGCGATTGTAGGAGCAGAAAAGGAGAAGATGATGGTGGCGTGTACAATCATAGCCGCTTCAACATTTCTCCTGCCTAGGGGAGCACACCCTAAAATTGCAAATGAACTACTTCCGGTCCTAGCTGAGCCGACCCAGATCTCCGATTACGATTTCTGTGATTATGTTGTGGAGGGGTTGAGAGAGGGTGCTGCAAAGCTTAGGGAGGATCTCCTACATGACCCATCTCAGCTGAGTCTCCAAGGGTGCCTTGTCATCCCTCAGGTTAGCAAAAATGCTACCCGGTTCAATATTTGCACATTTTTTTGTTTTTGGGGGAGTTTTCTCACGCATGCGCTCTCTGTTTTTGCCTATAAAATGTAGATCATTTTCTGTTATTACCATGAACACGGGATGGAACGACGAGAGAACCTGCCGTTCCCTCGCTTGGCCTCGTACTCGGATCTGTTCATGAAACTGCAGATTCGCAAGCATGCAACTAGGCTTGGTGTGGAAGCTGGATTTGAGGTACATTTCTGGCGTGGCCGCTTCTGTGGGGGCACGAGCACCTACGGGGCAGGGGGGCCCCTTCTAGTCCGGCAAAGGAGCGGAGGGCGCACGCAGAGCAGATCGAGGCGGGAGCGCGCGGGGGATTTTACCCAGCTTCGGAGCTCTCCGGAGAGATAAAACTCCTACTGCTGCTTTGTGTTCGTATTATGTTCTTGCTCAAGAGTGTGAGCGTGTTGTGGTGTTGGATGTCTCGGATGAACCGAGCCTGCTGCGGAACCAAAAAATTCCGAACCTCTTCTACGTGCGCATGAGCCTCCCTTTTATAGCCTAAGGGGGTCGCCGACAGGTGGCAGCGTAGAAAGAGGGGTAGAAAGGTAAAAACGCAGGTTGGTACAACAGTGTCCAACAGTGTCCCCTACCTAACTCTGACGGAAGGGGACAAGGGCATTTAATGCCCGTCCGGTCGCCCCAACAGTGCAAGGAAACGACCGTTAGGGGCGCCACCGATCGCCACGACGGCCTCCTTGTCAGCTTCGCTTGCCACCTCGCACCGCATGGCTGCACAGCGCCTCGCCACGTGCTCCTGGGATGGCCCTGGGGTGACACGTCGTTGGATGCGCTGGAGCTTGGGTGCAGAGTGGCAGCCTTGCCACGGCAAGTGCCTTGCCGTGACCGTTGTCTTGTCGCACCAGCAAGCTTGCCGCTCGCCGGGCCTTGCCGGGACGCGCGGGGCGTTGCGGCAAGTTTTCTGAAGTGTCTTGGTTGGCTTTCCCGGCAAGCTCCTCTTGCCGGGGTCTTGTCCTTCCCGGCAAGCTCCTCTTGCCGGGGCCTTGTACTTCCCGGCAAGCTCCTCTTGTCGGGGCCTTGTCTTCTTAGTTAATACTTTGCTCTTGAATGGCAGTAAGATAGGAATGGCGGAGGATCTTGGCGGGCGCCCGGCAAGCCTCGCCGCGGGGTGCTGCGACTGCCCGTGCACAAGTTCGGGGTACTAAGGTACCCCTACTTTAGTACACCGACAGGGGCCCCCGGGCCTGGGCCATACACGGTGCCGAGCGCTGTTGGGCCAGGCCCAAAACAGTGCACGGGCATGCGCGGCCTGGGTCCACACAAAATCCGCTCCGTACCCGCCGCGCTCCCTTGTAATGGCACGCGTCGATTGCGGCGTCGTGGGAGACGTGGGTGGCGTGCGCGATTTTCGAGGCGCCCATCCCCGTGGTCACGGGGCGGGGTGAGGTCACCTCAACCGTCGCCTCAGTTCTGCATCCTCGCCACGCGTCTTCCATGCACTCGAGGTCGCGGACGGTGGAGGTGGGAGATCGAGCCGTCACGGGCGGAGGCAGCGGGTCGGCCCCGACCCCTTGCTCTTTCCGTGCTCTGATTCGCTGAGCGGGGCGGCCGAGCCCCCACTCCGCCCCTTTAAGAAGAGCGGGAGGGGAGCGCAGAAGCCCGCACTCTCTCATCTTCTCCTTTCTTCAACTTCTGCTCCCCTTTCTCTCATTCGCCATGGAGGAAGGGAACCCTGGTCCTTCATCGGTGGCGGCGAGGGTCGCCGCGAGACAGCGCATCCCTCCCTATCCCGCGCCAGTGGTGGCAGAGCCAGCCACAAGGGGAAGAGGGAGGGGGCGTGGTCGTGGGCGAGGCCGAGGGCGAGGTCGAGGCGCTCGAGGAAGAGGCGGACGGGGCGGCGCAGCATCTCCGCCTCCGCCGGCAGCTCCTCCCCTCGCGGCGGTCCATACGGGGGACGACCCTTGGGAGTTCTTCGTCAAGCTGCGCCGGGCACCTCGCCGCCGCCTCTGGCTTCCGGCTCCGTTTGCGAGCGCGATGGAGCCGGACCCGCCCGAGACGCTGAGGTTGCGCATGAGGGGCTGTGGGATCAGCGGCACGCGAGTCAGCGTTGTATCCCCAGCCCCTAGCGTGATGTATCTTGATCGAGGGTGGAAGACGTTCGCCCGCATCCACAGCTTGACGGCGGGGTTTACCCTCCATTTTAAGTTAATGGAGGGCGACCTCCTCTCCGTCAAGGTCTTCGGGGACTCCGGCACCCGGGCGAGATGCTGCGTGGACAGCTCCTCCGATAGCGAAGACTCCCCCTCGAGCGAGAGTGACGAGGAGGAGAGCGACAGCGACGACGAGGGCGGCGGGCCCGACTAGGCGTCGGGCGTCGCCTCGTGCGTCACCGGCGACCCCATCATCCGGGTCGCCGGCCCCTTGAACTCCCCGGGGTCGTCTCCTTGGGCGGCTGGCGTAGGGAGGCTGCGGAAGAGGAAGAGGGGTGGCGGCAAGGCCGTCAAGTCGGAGTACGAGGGCGTGGTGCCCTCGACAGCGTGTTGACGTCCTGCCGCCCCGTCTTCGAGCTCTGCTTCCGGCGCCGCCGTCTCCGCCAAGCCTCCGGGTGGCCCTCGGGATGTTCTCTTGGTGTCTTCTGGCACCCGTAGCTCACCTAGGCGCCTCTTTTGCCCTCTTCGGCTCCTTGACCTACCTCCTGAAAAGGGGGGCAGGAAAGGGATTACGGGCATCTTATCTTTTCGATTTGTAAGCCTTCGGGCCTTAGCTACATTTAAAACTTATAATCCTCTCTTTCATGTTTTTCATCCTTTATGGACTGTACCCGAATGGGATGTTTTTTAATGAAAAAAAAGGGGAAGCTCGCTATGCTATATCCTTTACTTGACTCTATGCCTTGTATGTTTTTACCCTACGCTCTGAGGGAACTTGACGGCGCAAGCACACTTGCTGAGTGCGGAACATCAGCAGCCCGCTGGCGGTGCTGCCTCCGGCAAGAAACCTTGTCGGGGCTAGTTGCAGCTCACTTGTATTGTTGAGCGGACTCGAAAACAAATCAAGGGCGCAACTTAGCCACGAGTCGATTCCTCCGCGCACAGGTTTTCCATACAAGGGATGGTCGTTCAAGGAATATAACTTCGCGTTTCCCAGTCCATAAGAGGATGCATGATGAGGGATGAAAAAAAAACTTATCTGATATTGCAGCCCCCGGCAACTCTGGCTTGCCGGGGATGAATCTCAGTACTCGCAGCCCCCAGCAACGCTGGCTTGCCGGGACCCAGGTGCCGGCGCACCTTTCTTCTTTTTCCTTGTTCTTGCCGCTGCTAGACGTGTCCTAGGAACAATCTTTTAGAGCGCGGCAAGTCATTTACTGTAATATATAACTTTATTCTGAGCAAAGCTTGCTATGTTATATCCTTTACTCTGTTACATCCCTTGTATGTTTTTACCCTACGCTTTGAGCGAACTTGCCGGCGCGAGCACACTTGCTGAGTGCGGAACATCAGCAGCCCGCTGGCAGTGCCGCCTCCGGCAAGAAATCTTGTCGGGACTAGTTGCAGCTCGCTTGTATTGTTGAGCGGACTCGAAAACAAATCAAGGGCGCAACTTAGCCATGAGTCGATTCCTCCGCGCACAGGTTTTCCATACAAGGCACGGACGTTTCAAGGAGTATAACTTTAAAAACTTAAAATTGACTATGCTCAAACTTTGGCAACTTAGCTTTTCTGTCTTCTGCATTCCGGCAAGGCTATGCTTCTTTGAACGACACATAGTCCATATCGTTATCAAGCCCCGACAACGAGGACTAAAGGCGTAAATGCTACTGTGGGAACATTCGCTTCTACGGCAAGAATCTGGGATCCTGCCGGAGCGTGATGCTCCCCGGCAAGCGTGTCAGGACACAGCTTGTCGGGAGCGTCTGCTTCAATGAAACAAACCCTAGGGCTTGTCGGAGCAGACGGCTCCTCAGCGCTTTCTGTGTTGATCCTGGGGGCCTTCTTGGCGGCGGCTCCGGGGAGCTCTGCCGGAAAGTAGTCGCCAGTAACCAACCCTTTTCTTTCTTTTGGTTACATAGGTTCATCCTTGCCGGAATCAGAACTTGTCGAGGGAGCCCCCTGCTTGTCGCTGGAGACCGCACTGCGCTCGTGCCAGCGTGTTGACGCGTACGTTGGCCTTGAGCGTCCCGCGACCCACCAGCTTGGCCTTGTTCCAACGCGAGCACGGCGCCAGGAGCGCCGTGGCATTGTCGATCTTGCACCTCCTGGGAGGGGTGCGGTGGATGTGTAGATGCTGAACCTTGCGGGGCCTTGTCCTTGGAGCGGGTGACGATGTGAGTCCCCCCGCTGGCGCCCGCTCCTCCGCCGGCGTCCACCCCACCGCCTGTTTGCTCCGGTGGCGGTAGGACAGTCGCAGACAGAGCGGCTACCTCCGAAGTTTTCTTCTTCGGTGGCATGTTGATGAAGATGCTGATGTAGCGCGCGCAGACGCCGGATCAGATGCTCACGACCTCGACGCCCCCCTACCTGGCGCGCCAAAGATGTCGTGGCCGCTTCTGTGGGGGCACGAGCACCTATGGGGCAGGGGGGCCCCTTCTAGTCCGGCAAGGGAGCGGAGGGCGCACGCAGATCATATCGAGGCGGGAGCGCGCGGGGGATTTTACCCAGCTTCGGAGCTCTCCGGAGAGATAAAACTCCTACTGCTGCTTTGTGTTCGTATTATGTTCTTGCTCAAGAGTGTGAGCGTGTTGTGGTGTTGGATGTCTTGGATGAACCGAGCCTGCTGCGGAACCAAAAAATTCCGAACCTCTTCTACGTGCGCATGGGCCTCCCTTTTATAGCCTAAGGGGGTCGCCGACAGGTGGCAGCGTAGAAAGAGGGATAGAAAGGTAAAAACGCAGGTTGGTACAACAGTGTCCAACAGTGTCCCCTACCTAACTCTGATGGCATGGGGCAAGGGCATTTAATGCCCGTCCAGTCGCCCCAACAGTGCAAGGAAACGACCGTTAGGGGCGCCACCGATCGCCACAACGGCCTCCTTGTCAGCTTTGCTTGCCACCTCGCACCGCATGGCTGCACAGCGCCTCGCCACGTGCTCCTGGGATGGCCCTGGGGTGACACGTCGTTGGATGCGCTGGAGCTTGGGTGCAGAGTGGCAGCCTTGCCGCGGCAAGTGCCTTGCCGCGGCCGTTGTCTTGTCGCACCAGCAAGCTTGCCGCTCGCCGGGCCTTGCCGGGACGCGCGGGGCGTTGCGGCAAGTTTTCTGAAGTGTCTTGATTGGCTTTCCCGGCAAGCTCCTCTTGCCGGGGTCTTGTCCTTCCGGGCAAGCTCCTCTTGCCGGGGCCTTGTACTTTCCGGCAAGCTCCTTTTGCCGGGGCCTTGTCTTCTTAGTAAATACTTTGCTCTTGAATGGCAGTAAGATAGGAATGGCGGAGGATCTTGGCGGGCGCCCGGCAAGCCTCGCCGCGGGGTGCTGCGACTGCCCGTGCACAAGTTCGGGGTACTAAGGTACCCCTACTTTAGTACACCGATAATTTCTCGCCTTACATGATGTCTCAATAAATAGGGTGTGGTTTCTAAGATTCAGTCTGATTGTTCCCTGCAGGCAGTGGATGTCCCCGGGTCTCCGGCAATCAATGTCGTTTGTGGGAGCGCAACTCAAGCGCAAGGCTGGGCCATGCCAAGTTCTAGTGTGCATGCTCCTCCTACTGGATTTTGTGTGGACCATGCGACAGAGATACCAGGAGAGGTTAGATGTTGAAATTTGTTGGCTTGTGAGACCAGGTGCAAATTTGTCCTGATGCATTAACTAATTTAGTTGTCTTCTTGTTGTTTCCTGTATCAGATTCTTGATGCGTTCAGGGAGGCAGTGGAGCATGGACTGAAGCAGCGTCAGCAGGAATTCATCAAAATGGTGGAGGAGACACTAGTCAAAGTGCTTGAAGAAATCAAGACCAAGGCTGATGCTAAACGGCAGAGAGACCTGGAGGACACACTTGGCGATTTTATCAACCGAGTGAAGAGGCAAGCTCCGATGGCTGCCACATTTCCTAATGTGAGCCAAACCTTGCATCGGCCCAGGGCAAGTACAGGTAATCTTTGTCACGGTGGCAATGATGAAAAAAAGATTAGTTTGTGTTTTTTTTGTTGGAAAGATTAGTTTAGGTTGGTATGGTAGTGAGTTGCTGTCGCTTCTGGTGTTAGGCCACTTCCTGTGTTTACGTCCGCTTGCATGAAAACGGGCCATGCATGCATGGTGGGCCATGCGCCCATGCCGTGCTTGAGAAAACTAACAGCGGCCGTAGGCGCGTTGATTTATCATTAATTAATGTGATGATGTTAATTAGTGTCTTATTTTTTTTGTTTTCCTTGTTAGATATTACGCAAGATCTGGCTGAAACCTCAAGGGAAGCTGCTAGGGCTTTGATGTCAGTAGTTTTAGTTAATGAAGAGACGCGTGGCAGACCAGGTACGTTGTAGGTCTTTGCATTGCAAAAAGCAATTGACTAAATTAGTATAGCGTTGATATGTGTATTTTTGTATATGTTTATTAGAGACGAGTGCGATGGGGGGTGCATCAACGCCTATGCAAGGAACTGACATCAACTCACAAGCAGCAGTGCATGCAAATGCACGTGGCAAAGGTAACAGCCTTGACTCAAGTGCGATTTTGATTGGCCGGTGTGAGTTTGGTACACTAAAATGGAGTTTCCGCTGTTTTCTTTTGCAGATGTTGCTGTGCAAGCTGGTCTTGATGAACCAGTGGAGAAGACTATGATCGTGGACAACAAAGGAAAGGGGCCGGCTGTTGACTGTGAGTGACGCCATCATTTTCATGCTTTGGATAATGCATCTGCAAGTTGCATGCACTAACTTGTTCACCCTGCCATATCTTGCAACAGTAGTCTACCGTAGGCGCACTTGACAAACTACCATGCATGAGGTCCTGGGAGTGGGAGGAGCTTCTTCTAGGGATCAGGCTGTGCCTGTCCATCACCAGGTGATGGCAGCGGTGATGGCACCGTTATACGCTGATATGAGTGAAGGTAAACATATTCAAAAGACCATCTAATTTGGTCGACGGCCATTTGCATCTAAAAATTCTTTACAAAATGGTCCATCTGTTGCATGTACAGTCGTTGAGCCGGATGCTTTGCAACAGCAACATGATCTTGCTAGGGGCATTGCCACGACCATTCCCATATGCAACAGGAGGCTTGCACTGCCTGATTATGGTGAACAGAGCCGGCCGGGCCCACTTGGTTAGTGTACAAATCTGTTTGAGTTGTTCCAACAAAAAATGCAAAAATAGAATCTAACGTTGTGTTTGTGTATTTGCAGCGGTTGTTCCTGCTTTGCCACCTGCCCGTGATTATGGGTGAGGGAGTCCTGGACTAGGGGGTGTTCGGACAGCCGGACTATCATCGTCAGCCGGACTCCAAGACTATGAAGATACAAGATTGAAGACTTCGTCCCGTGTCCGGTTAGGACTTTTCTTGGCGTGGAAGGCAAGCTTGGCGATACGGATATGTAAATCTCCTACCATTGTAACCGACTCTGTGTAACCCTAGCCCTCTCCGATGTCTATATAAACTGAAGGGTTTTAGTCCGTAGGACGGCAACCATTACAACAATCATACCATAGGCTAGCTTCTAGGGTTTAGCCTCCTTGATCTCGTGGTAGATCCACTCTTGTACTACCCATATCATCAATATCAATCAAGCAGGAGTAGGGTTTTACCTCCATCGAGAGGGCCCGAACCTGAGTAAAAACATCGTGTCCCTTGTCTCCTGTTACCATCCGCCTAGACGCACAGTTCGGGACCCCCTACCCGAGATTCGCCGGTTTTGACACCGACATTGGTGCTTTCATTGAGAGTTCCTCTGTGCCGTCACCGATAGGAAGGATGCCTCTTCCCGTCTTCAAAGACGGTATCTTCGCCAAAGGAGCCTTGGCCGCCGGCCAAACTATCCGGTTGGGTGGTTTTCTCATGACCGCCTGTTCGGCCACCGCTTCGACAATGACCTCTCGGGTCATCAAAAGCAATCTTCACGTCAACTCAGAATTCGCCGAGCAGCTGGATCCAACAGAGCTCTCGTCCGTAAATGAACTCTTGGATCGCATCGCCGCCCTGGGAGTCGCTACAGACTACAATCAGATTGGGCTTAAAACCGATCTAAGAGAGATTAACTCTTCCCAGGTTACCCACCACGTTACGGTGGTAGAGGAACAACGCGGCGACTCTTCTCCTGTATTGAAAACTAGTCATGTCCGGGCTCCCGAACCCTCCATGCCGGATTCCCGTGGAGGGACGGACTTCGATCAAACACTGAACCTAAAGTCAGGCATCGGACCGGACTCGTTGGACAACGTCCAACAATCCAAGCTTCCAAATTCGGAAACTTCTCGGCCTTTGAGCCTCGAGATGGGTAGGGTTCCGGACTCAATTCCACCCACCCACCCAGACATATGCGATCTATCTCAAATCCGGCAAGAGCCCACTGAAACAGTACATCATTACTGGGCTAGATTCCTCCTGGTTATGGACAGGATAAAGGACTACCGAGAGGAAAACGCAATTTCAATTTTCTGCAATAATTGCACGGACGAGGGAATCTTGAACGCCGTCAGTCGCCGTGAAATTACACGCTTCGCCGACCTGGCGTCCATAGTACGAAAGTACTGTGCGATGGAGAGTTTCCGGAAAACCGAAACTAAGTTTTGGGACAATCCGGCCCCGAATACAACCCTAGTCCGTAACAAAAGGGTGCATCACACTCAGGCACCAAACCAAAAAGCAAAAACCCCATAAAGGGCAAGGAACCGTACTGGAGGGATGGCTCAGCGGACCCTGTAAAATTCACAGTACAGAAGGCGCCACCCCAACACATAGCCTTCGAGCATGTTGGATATTGCGGCAGGTGGCCAAAAGTGGCGAGGAGCTTCTAGCCCCGGAAAACCACTCCAACAGTACCAGTATGGTGTCAACAGTCTTCGAGACTTTCGCATCAAATAATATGCGAAAACGAACAATCCGCAATCTCGCCGAAGTCTACCAAGTAGCAACAACAAATCCATAGAGCGACACGACCATTACCTTGATTGTTATATGTTGTTTCCGGCCTCATTTAAACTTGCCTTGATGTGTTGTTCTTGTTTGCATCATCTCTTGCCATGAGTAGCTTCATGTATCTTGGTCATGCATCATGCTTGTTGTGCATCATGCCTTGTTCATGTGTGGTGTGTTTCTTCTCGATACTTCCTGTTTCGTTGCGATCGTGAGGATTCGTTCGTCTACGCTTGGTTCGTCTTCGTGGCTTCATCCGTTCGTCTTCTTCATGGACTCGTTCTTCTTCCTTGCGGGATTTCAGGCAAGATGACCGCTACCCTGGATCTCACTACTATCATTGCTATGCTAGTTGTTTCGTTCCATCGCTATGCTGCGTTACCTATCATTTGCTCTTCAAGCCTCCCAAATTGCCATGAACCTCTAACCTTTGACACCCTTCCTAGCAAACCGTTGTTTGGCTATGTTACCGCTTTGCTCAGCCCTCTTATAGCGTTGCTAGTTGCAGGTGAAGTTGAAGATTTTTCCATGGTGGACAGGGTTTATGTGGGGATATCACAATATCTCTTATATTATTAATGCATCTATATATTTGGTAAAGGGTGGAAGGCTCGGCCTTATGCCTGGTGTTTTGTTCCACTCTTGCCGCCCTAGTTTCCGTCATACCGGTGTTATGTTCCCGGATTTTACGTTCCTAATGCGGTCGGGTGATTTATGGGACCCCCCTGACAGTTCGCTTTGAATAAAACTTGTCCAGCAAGGCCCAACCTTGGTTTTACCATTTGCCTCACCACCACCTACCTTTCCCTTGGGAGTAATTAACCCAACGGTCATCTTTATTTTAGCCCCCCCGGGCCAGTGCTTGTCTAAGTGTTGGTCCGAACCGAGCAGCCTGCGGGGCCACCTCGTGGCAACTCGAGGGTTGGTTTTACTCGTAGCTTGACTTATCCGGTGTTGCCCTGAGAACGAGATATGTGCAGCTCCTATCGGGATTGTCGGCGCATCGGGCGGCTTTGCTGGTCTTATTTTACCATTGTCGAAATGTCTTGTAAACCGGGATTCCGAGACTGATCGGGTCTTCCTGGGAGAAGGTCTATTCCTTCATTGATCGCGAGAGCTTGTCATGGGCTAAGTTGGGACACCCCTGCAGGGTATAAACTTTCGAGAGCCAAGCCCGCGGTTATGTGGCAGATGGGAATTTGTTAATGTCCAGTTGTAAATAACTTGACACCAGATCCGAATTAAAACGCATCAACCGCGTGTGTAGCCGTGATGGTCTCTTCTCGGCGGAGTCCGGGAAGTGAACATGGTTTCTGTGTTATGTTTGATGTAAGTAGGAGTTCAGGATCACCTCTTGATCATTGCTAGCTTCACGACCGTTCCGCTTGTTTCTCTTCTCGCTCTCATTTGCGTATGTTAGCCACCATATCATGCTTAGTCGCTGCTGCAACCTCACCATTTTACCCCTTCCTTTCCCATTAAGCTTTGCTAGTCTTGATACCCATGGTAATGAGATTGCTGAGTCCTCGTGGCTCACAGATTACTACAACAACAGTTGCAGGTACAGGTTTATGCGATGATCATGACGCGAGAGCGATGCTTGCTTGCGTTGAGTTCTTCTTCTGCTTCTTCTTCGATCAGGGGATAGGTTCCAGGTCGGCAACCTGGGCTAGCAGGGTGGATATTGTTTGAGTTTCTGTTTATGATTCATCCGTAGTCGGATGTTGTTCTTGTATGTTGTATTGTTGTATTCATGTGGCGTTGTATGTATTGGATGTATCCCCATCTATTATGTAATGTTGATGTAATGATATCCACCTTGCAAAAGCGTCTCAATATGCGGGTCTATCCTTGGTGGGACCTTTGAGTTCCTTTTGGATAGGGTCGCATATTGGGCGTGACAGATGAGTACTCGCGGAAGGAAGATGGTGTGATTTGGATCTGGATTCTTGCCTCTCTTATAGGCAGATTGTTTGCGCGGCTAGGGGGTAAAACATAAAAGATACCCTGGCTTTTCACATTCGTGCGACGCGTGGAAGAAGGCCATTATTGGGCGTGGAAGCCAAGGAGCGCAATGTTTATAAAAGAGCCGGACACTATCCGGCAAACACATGGAATTTGAAGGAGAACCCGCCTTGCAACGCCGAAGACTATATATGCGCTGGACTCGACGTCATTGAAGCCTAGTTCAGGGGCTACTGAGGGAGTCCTGGACTAGGGGGTGTCCGGACAGCCGGACTATCATTGTCAGCCAGACTCCAAGACTATGAAGATACAAGATTGAAGACTTCGTCCCGTGTCCGGATAGGACTTTCCTTGGCGTGGAAGGCAAGCTTGGCGATACGGATATGTAGATCTCCTACCATTATAACCGACTCTGCGTAACCCTAGCCCTCTCCTGTGTCTATATAAACCGGAGGGTTTTAGTCCGTAGGACGACAACCATTACAACAATCATACCATAGGCTAGCTTCTAGGGTTTAGCCTCCTTGATCTCGTGGTAGATCCACTCTTGTACTACCCATATCATCAATATCAATCAAGCAGGAATAGGGTTTTACCTCCATCGAGAGGGCCCGAACCTGGGTAAAAACATCGTGTCCCTTGTCTCCTGTTACCATCCGCCTAGACGCACAGTTCGGGACCCCCTACCCGAGATCCGCCGGTTTTGACACCGACAATGGGTATTCATCATTTGAGCTTGATATCCGCCATGTTCATTATCCGGACCACATGTGTGCTGATCTCTATGAGTCTGTGATGCTTCTGACTGAGAATTCTGCGCTTAGCAGGTGCGTTTATTTTCCATGTGTGCAATGTTACATAATGAATGTGATTATATGTCTGCCTCTAATGGTATGAGTGTTGTTTGTTTCTAAGCAGGACCTGGTTTGAACATCGCTCTCCTTCGGTTTTCAGGATAGATGGACACAAGATGAAGTACCAATTTAGTTTGCATTGCGAGTTGATGTACACTGGTCTTGAAGCGTGGGTGCTTGGCTGGAACGATAGGGAACGGAGGATGATGGAGAGAGTTGATCTTCCAAACTGGAGAGGATTACTACCACCTGATGTCGTGGTACGTTGAATAGATGATTGGAATGTTTTTGAATGTCACTTGCTAGTGGTTTGAACTGACAAATTGGCGTGCATGTGTTTTTGCAGCTCCACATGGAAAACATTGATTCTGACGGCGCCCGTTCTGTACTGATGGCGTTGCTTTCCACACCCAAGCTTGGTTTCCCGTTATGCATGTGCCGCCTGGTATGACTACTTCTTTTGGTCCTTGTACACACACGATTTCGACTTTCATATGACTTGTTCACTAAAACCAGTATTCTGCTTTGCAGATCCTGTTCCCAGTGTGGCTTATTGGGGAGTGGTCCTTGTACGTGTTCGACATGGAGATGACTAGGGTCACGGTGATGGATCCATTGTACACACATGTGGGTTCCCCTGTCTATGAGGCCAAGCACGGGGCGACCGTGCGCATGCTCTTGAGAGGGCTCAAGATCCTTGGTACTATGATGTTGGATGGATGGCAAATGGATATATCAAAATGGACTGTTGTGTACAACATTGACATGCACATACCTTGCCGAAGGTGAGTGCAAGCGTAGAATTCGTAGTGTTCCCTGGTAGGAGCACTTGCTGACAAATAGCATTTTGCAGCGGAGAATCACTTGGCTACATTGCTCACTATGCAGACAACTTTAACGCTTACGAGCTGGAGCAAGAAGTTCCTGAGTTAATTTTGCGCCTATAAATTAATCATGCTTATTAGCTATGTTAGTGTTGAAACAGATATTGACCAGCTACTTGTTTTTTCCGGTGTGGTGCACAGGTTGGTCTTTCGGCGCGTCGCAAAAGGATGTTGTACGATACAATTGCCTGCTCAGGCAACACAGCTCCTCACCCTGGATTCATGGAGGAGTTTGAGGAGGAAGATTAGGATGATGACGTGTACGTGTCCTGCTTTTGGATTTGCTGCATCTAAGGACATGTTAGATTCTGCCCTGCTGTACCATTTTGTAGCTGTCTGGTAGACAGTTCTGCATGCCCATGACTTGTATGATGGGTGCACCATGCGTTGGAACTATGGTTAAGTAGTATTTGTCTAGGTATTCCATCAGCAGTTGGACCTATGTGTAAGGAGAATTTGCCTAAGGATGATATGTTCAAGTTGTTAGCATTCGCGAACTTATTACTGTATTTATCGGTTAATCTTAGCTTGGATGAGATCAGCCTTCCATGCTGTGAAAACTTGTGCATGGAGTGGATTGTGTGAGCCCTCTTGGAAAAAACGGATAGAAACCGTTTGCTTGGCCACCACACGTTTGAAAAGTGACCGTTGGCCTCAGGACTGACCAGCCTATATAAAGACCACACGGCTACACTGCATCACAAGCACTCCACTAGCAGCGAAGACACACTCCACCACCCACCAGCCCCCCACTCCCAAGCAAATGTCTTCCTCCTTCTCTTCAAGCTCAAGGGCGGCATCTTCATCCCAGAGGCGCTTCGCTCCAGCTGGCCAAACCAGGTCGCCGGTGCGTTACAGGGTGGGTCCGCTGGACTACGAGCCTGCGACACCATGTTGGTGCAAGAACAGGCCCAAGGCGGCCATGTGGATCTCGTGGAGCGATGAGAACCCAGGGAGAAGATACAAGACATGTGCCCGGTCACAGGTATGTGTTCTAGATGCGAAAGTTTTTCTTGGTTTGGTTACAATTGTTTAGTGTTCATGCCTGTTGAGATTTTTCTGTGCTCGATTTACATGAGATGGGAGGATGTGAAATGTACGAGTGGTTCGACGATCCCATTGAGAATCTGTTCCTCAAGCAGCTGGTCATTGATCTACGCGACAAGGTGCGTCAGCTAGAGAGGATCAACTCAGAGTTACGAGCTGAAGCAACTTCGGTGCAGCAACGGCAAGCTGCGCAAAAAGCTGTTCAACCAGCTCCAGAAGATAATGTAGCAGTCAACCCAGGGATCAGGTATGCGAAGGCGCTTGCACTGATCGTGCTGCTTGCAGCAGTGTCAATCTACGTAGGGAAATAAACTTGTAGCTGGCATGTGAGCTAGATCTCAAGGGTGTAACTGGATAAGCTCTGATGTACTAGTTAATGGCTAAGAATTTGCATGCATTAGATAGGATCACTCGGTGATCGTCGTAGTACTGGGGAAAATTAGTCTACAAGTTTGTTCTGCTTATAAGTAATCGAAATTACATGAGCAGACCGATCAACGATGTGCTATTTTATAGGGCTGTGAACGACGCTTTGACAGCTTCGAGGGCGTCGTTTGCCACTGAAGTTTGGTTCCCTTGCATCCTCATTAGTTCATATATCATCAAGCTGCTGTGCGATGATAGCGTGTCCTACACAAATGCAGGTGTTTAGTAGATCATTTGGGCAGGCAGTAACTATGCAGTGTTTGCGGGGTTGGGTGGGGTGTGTCAGGCACACAAACAACATACCTTGTTTAGTGGTATCTGTAGTTTGTCGCCGTCGTAGTTCCAGGCAAAGAATGTGGCACACAGCCCAGTCTGATCCCTGCATTTGTATACAAGTGAGGACAAGTTCAAGTTAACCAAAAATGTACTTGAGCTGCACCAAACATACTTATCAATCTTTTCCCTCATTACGATAGGAAAAGTGCGCCCCCAATGGCTTGATTAACAGTGCCATGAGCTAAAGAATTTCTCCAGACAGTTGAACAAAGCAGCATGAAGTTTGTTGCTAACAAATTCATGCATGCTTACTCGGCGATTGCTATAACCAAACGGCCCTACGGCTGGGTCTAGCACGATGATCCTTTTTCTGAGCATATCAAATGCATATACTGTCCAACTATCAGGTAGGATCGCCGAGATGTACCACTGCATACAAACGCACATGTTAATGGTCTGTACCCAACAATAGTTCTGATATAATATAACATCAGCTTCTGCAGCGTCGCCTACCATCCGGCATGAAGCTGGGTTGCAAGATGAAGTTCCTTCTTGGAAACTAGTCCTAATAGATTGAACCGTCAGTGGGTCAGCATTCGCCAAAATAGTTGTCTACACATAACACAAGGGAGCGCGGAGTGGTGAAACGCGTGCAAAATGGGACACAACCAAAATGAAAACTTTGTGAAACAAAACTAACCGCAAAGTCTGGTTCAACAAATTTCCTCCATATGTGTCTGGGAGTGTCCTTCGAGAATAACATATCAATTTGACCAAGTCTATGAAAAATAGCTGTGGCCATCTCATGGGTCATTGGATCATTTAGCACAAGCTGTCGATGGATTTCAACACCATCTAGAGATATAAGTCTTGGTTTGGGATGCACGATCCATTTCCTGCAATTATGGTGTGGTAATGCATTTTAGAGTGTGGCAAACTATAAAGTGGTTTTGATGACACATATGTAATTTGCTGGCTCGGTAATGGAAACTTGCCTCTCAAGGTTTAGCATGGAAGCTCCAGTCATCCAGTCTCTTATAGCCCTAAGAACAGTTGGAATGGGTGGTGCTGGGACTGATCCAGCAACCCACGGGTCTCTTCCAAAGTTGCATTGAGGTAGATCAATCTTCAAAGGTACTCCATCTGTAGTTGACCCAAACAAAACGAAGGCGGGGGTTGGACGGATCTCAGCATAATAAGTAACCAGTATTGCTGTAAGATCATCGTAAAATGCGACAATATTGCTAGCGATTTCCATTATGGTTCTATCCTGTGATATGGGGTTCTGATTGTGTGGGCTCTGACTGTATGTTGGGGTTAGTGCAACAATAGCCTGCTGATCACGTGAGTAGGTTTTCTTTGATGTGCCTGACTGTACGCTTGAAGATAAACTGCCATCTCTTTTCCTAGACACATGGCTGTTCGCCGACACGGTGCCTGGCAAGGCAGATCAAGTAGGGTCAAGGGGGTGCCTAGGTCCTATAAGGTCGCTTGTATGATTTTAAAAGATTGATCATGTACCTTCATGGTTCCCTGGTGCTGGTAATCGGGGTCCAATCTTGCTTACTAAAGGCGTGCTGAATTGGGTTTGATCTACTGATGCCATGGGAGGTACATTGTCGGTGTTGGTGTCTTCCCTCTTCAAGATGCACCTTTTGCTTCCATGCGCCTTGCAACAAGTGCAGCTATCTGCTATGCATATCATTAGCTTGTCAGTGAAAGTGAACATATTGGATTGGAAGGCTTGACGCATTTCTGAAATATTTGCTAGCCCACGGGCATTCTGCTCACGGAGAAGTACGCCGAGTTTCTCCGTTGACTAGATAAATACATATAAAAAAAGGTTAGGTGGTAGTCAAATTGTATGTATCTGATGAACATGGACAATGGCTTTAGGAGACATACTATGCTTGGGTAGCGTGTTCGTATATAATTTGAAAACTCTTGCGCATCGGTTTTGGCATAGCTATTCCGTGGAATTGGTGTGCACGTTGCATTTGCCTTTTTGGGCGCTGTCGTGGGCTTTGGTGTATTTGTTGCACAAACTTCCTTCGGACGACACACACTTAGGTTTCTCACGGAGAGCTCGCTCCGCACCTGTTGTTTTCCAAAAGTAAGAAGCGTGTTTTGATGTAGTACTGACTGAGATAAAAAAATGTCTTCGATTTGGCATGTTTTGCTTACCGGTGCGCCGTGAAAGGAAACTTCGCACGGGGCAGAATTCACTGTAATTTTCTCAACCATATTCTTGATCGACTCATAGTCGTACAAGCCTATACGCGGGGTTACACCTCTTGCCCTGTTTAGAACACCCAGCTCGAGGCTATCAAGCACAAAAAGCTGCAAATGAAAACAACAGCATTAGAATCATATGTGAGCATGTGCGACTGACTGATTAGAAAACTTCTAATGATTTTCATCAAGACAAAAACGAACACACACCTGCAGAAACAGATGACATCCAACTATATGCACGGTTGGGTTTCTCCTCAAAACATCTGCCTTGAACTTTTTGACAGCTTGAAAAAGATTTTTCAACACGTATCCTCCCCAATTCCAATCCTTTATCTTGCTGATATCATTCAGTGCAGCCCAGAAATCAATTAATATATAATCGTGCTTCGCAGTAGGTGCCAACACATGACCAACAACAAAAATAACAAAAGCAATTTTGAAGCAGTCCTGCTCTAATTGAGTAGATGATTCTGCTATGCATCTGCTTAAGTATGCCTCTGCTGCTTTCAGGCTGTGGGTGCCTCTATCACTAAACGATGCTGCCGCACGGGTATACTCAATGCAAGCTACTGACGGCTCAACTCCCTCGCCTTCTATGGTTGAATCGCCACATGGGATGCCAAACACATAATTCATGTCCTTGTCACATAGTTCAATAACACCTTGGCGCTCAAGATTTATTATACGTGAATCTACATCGACTCTATCCATTATATAAGCGTTGTATTTCAGGTTGATCTTCTGCCATGATTTTATCTCAAGCATTCCATCGAATCCAGTTTCCCTGACTAATTGGCACTTGAATTCAGAAAACTTGCTTATGACTGAACCCACTTTGAGCACAGAAAGCCTGGACGTGAAACATGGTGATTCAAGCAAACCAGTTGTGCCCCCTGAACCATCCCCATCACTGTTCCAATCTTCGGGCGACTGTTCACTGTTCTCTAATCGATTGACAACCATACCAGCTTGGATCCCGCTAAAAAAATCAGTCATCTTCCCTCTCTACCCCTAAAAAATGTTTTGAGAACTCTAATCAATTGAAGCAAAAAAAGTAAGATCAATGGCGACCTAGCGTTTGCAGCAGATCGTGAGTGGGATGGAATGGGGTACCTATCCGCTTTGCCTGCCCCCGGCACTTGCCGGCCCGGCAGAGGAGAGTGATCCTTGCCGCCGCCCAGTAGTTCGACGACGAGGGCGCTGTTGCTCACCTTGGTCCCTCTGGTGGATTTCCCTTCCGCAGTGAAGAAGCAGAGCGAGGTGGGTGGAGGTAGATGAGGGGTGAGGAGGAATGATGTGAATGCGTAGTAAATTGCGTGACGTGATGTATCACGGACGAGTGAACAGACCTGTGCAGCGCAAAACTGTTCCACGCGGCACAGAACCTGGCCTACCGCGTGAACCATTGACACTGAATTAGCTGTTAGTTGATACCCAACGGCAAAACGAGATTATGCCAAAGTGTTCACTGGTCTCCCAACATAAATGTGTTTATTAATAAAAAATTATGGATCTGCGTAATCACACTACCAATTGAATGGCGTGTTTCGTTGCATGATTTGAGGCTGATTTTGTGTTCCACAAATGTGGTCATGAGCGGACAGGATTTGGAACAGATTGTGCATGATAGTATTGCAGTTAACCTCTTGATTGTTCCAAGAAAAAATAAACCTCAATTAAACGGTAAACTGAATAGATATGTGCAATTAGTTCTTCCATGGTCAATGCTGGGCCACGTCGGCTGCTAGATGCACTGGTGGATGTGGCTCTCCGCACACTACAGCACATGATTGTGCTAGTACGTGACAGTCTTCGCGCTGGTACATGCAGATAAAATACAGCCCACCAGTGTACAAGTGCGGAGATGCTGTGCGGCCCATGTCAGAGGCGTGCGATAGGCCTAGCTTCCTTTCCATGTGCGTGGGTCCGGTGTCGATGAATACGGCCCAAAAAAAAGCGGATACACACATAATATAGAGGCAGCGGGGATCCACATGGCGCCAGGACGGATGAGATACCGGCCGGCCTGGTGCTCGGCCGCCATTGGCATTTTTCGCACGGATTGCCTTTACATTACTATTGTTACTGATTAAAGTGGATGAAAACGGGTCGGCCCTGAGGGGTACCCGTGCGAGCATGTGATGCGAGTGATGTGGAGTCGGGTTGACCTGGAAGGTGCCCGCGAGATAATTACGTGGCGTAGCCGGGCATTCTTAGCCCTTGCTGCAAGTCCACAAGACGGGGCGACGGGGTCACATCGATCGTGAGTCTCTGCTCGTTATCGTGCGCTCCTAAATCAGCTACGATTTGGATATTTGATCTGAGGGGCCTCTGGCCTGATAGCACTAACCATCACGTGGGCATAGTATGGGCGTTCTGCGTCATATGCATCAGCCGAAGCTTAATAGACGTCAGCGACTAAGCGGCGTGCACCGGGTTGGGCTGCGTAAGCACCTGCCTTTTTTAGGAGGTGGCTAGGTCTGCTCACCGGCCGCCCACGCAACATGCAGGAGTTCCCGGGGCGATGGCCCAAGACCCCTGGGGGCATAGGTTTAGTCCGGCGTGCTAACCTCTCTATTAGGCCTAGGTCGGGTTGCGGCGTATCGTTTGGCTGAGGTCGGGCATGACCTAGAAAAGTGTGTCCCGCCGGAGTTAATCGAGCGTGGTGGGTAAGTTGGTGCACCCCTGCAGGGAAGCAAACATTTATCGATAGCCCGTCCTACGGTAACAGACACTCGGAGTTGTATCCTGATCGATACAACTAGAACTGGATACTTGAGATGAGAAATGGATAGTATGGCTCTGGGATTGCCTTCTCGCAGGGAGTCGAGGAAGGATCTCTTGGCGAGGTTGATGACACTACTACTATTTTACTTTATGCTAGTCTGCACTCTTCTAATGCTGCAAGACCACTAAAGATGCTGAAGATGCTAGTCTTCAATAGGACTAGGCTCTCCCCTTTATTCTGGCATTTCTGCAGCCCAGTCCACATATACAACCTTCCTTTGATAATGTTGCATATGTAGTGTAGATCCTTGCTTGCTGAGTACTTCAGATGAGTACTCACGTTTGCTTTGCTTTCTTTTTCTTCCCCTTATCCGTTTGATGCAACCAGATGACGGAGCCCCTGAGACCGCTGCCACCGCCGGCGACTACTACTATCCCGAGGTTGCCTACTACTACGTGACGGACACCGACGACCAGTAGTAGTTAGGAGGCTCCCAGGCAGGAGGCCTTGCCTTTTCGATCGTTGTTACTTTTGTGTTAAGGCCTTCTCAAGACAGACTTGTTTAACTCATGTCTGTACTCAAATATTATTGCTTCTGCTGACTCGTTTGTATTCGAGCTTATGTATTCGAGCCCTCGAGGCCCCTGGCTTGTAATATAAAGCTTGTATTATTTTAATTTGTGTCCTTGAGTTGCGTAGAATTTCTAGGATCAAGCCAAAATGCAATAAAATATGATATGCAATGATGATCTAATGTATAACATTCCAAATTGAAAATTTGGGTGTCGGTGTACTAAAGTAAGGGGTACCTTAGTATCCCGAACTTGTGCACGGGCAGTCGCAGCGCCCCGCGGCAAGGCTTGCCGGGTGCCCACCAAGATCCTCCGTATTTCCTATTGGAGCCATTCAAGAACAAAGTGTTTTAACTGAGAAGATGAGGCCCCGGCAAGAGGAGCTTGCCGGGAAGGACGAGGCCCCGGCAAGAGGAGCTTGTCGGGAAGGCCAACCAAGGCATTTCAAGGAACTTACCGCGACGCGCCGCGCGTCCCGGCAAGCAACAAGCTTCCGGGCGCGACAAGACAACGACCGTGGCAAGGCGTTTGCCGCGGTGAAGCCACCACTCTGTGCCCACGCTCCAGCGCATCCGTCGACGTGTCGCCACAGGACTGTTCCAGGCGCACGTGGCGGGAAGCTGTGCAGCCAAGCGGTGCGAGGTGGCGAGTGGAGATGATGAGAAGGCCATCATGGCAAGCGGTGGCGCCTCTAACGGTCGCTTTTCTGCACTGTTTAGGCGACGCGGACGGGCATTAAATGCTCTTGTCCCCTGCCATCAGAGTTAGGTAGGGTGCACTGTAGCGGCAGTTGTACCAACCCCTCTTTTTACATTTGTACCCCTGTCTGCGTTGCCACCTGTCGGTGACCCCTTTAGCCTATAAAAGGAGGCCCATGCGCAACATAGAAGGGGTTCGACTCATTCGAAACCACAACACCCTCACGCTCTCGAGCAAGAACAGAATAAAACCACAAAGCAGCAGTAGGAGTATTATCTCTCCGGAGAGCTCCGAAGCTGGGTAAAAATCACTCGCGTGCTCCGCCTCGATCCGCTCTTCATGTGCCCTCCGCTCCCTTGCCGGACCGAGAAGGGGCCCTGCCCCATAGGTGCTCATTTCCCACGACATCTTTGGCGCGCCAGGTAGGGGGCGTCGAGGTTGTGTGAACCCGATCCGGCGTTCACGCGAGCCAGATCTTCGTTTTCTTCATCATCATCTTCAACATGCCACCGAAGAAGAAGGCTTCGGAGGTGGCTGCTCTGTCCACGTCGATCCCACCGCCACCGGAGCAAACGGGTTTGTGGGGTAGACGTCGGCGGAGGAACGGGCGCCGACGAGGGAGCTCATGCTGCCGCCAGGTCCAAGGACAAGGCCGCGCAAACCTCGGCGTCCGTACACGCACCGTGCCCGTCTCAGGAGCTGCGGGGCCAACAGCGTCATGGTACTCGCGGTACCATATGCTCGTTGGATCAAAATCGAGCTGGCGGATCTCGAGATGCTCAAGACCAGCATGCACGCCAACCTGCTGGCACGAGCAAAACACGGTCGCCCGGACGGGATCCTGCTCCTTCTAACATAGTTAGAAGTCCGAGCATATCCCGCTCCTCGCACCGTTCGCCACCGCCACCAAAGACTCTAGAAGAAGCGTTGGCTCGAGCCCAACTGCTCCTGGATTACCCTCCGACGGCAGACAAGATCGACGGTTGGAGGGCCACCATTCAGAGCCTCATCGGCTTCGCCAATGGCGACACTCCCCGGCAACCGAGCACATCGAAGCCGCGGCAAGACGCCCAGGCGCAAGCCGATGGCGACAAGACTGGTGGGGGTACAACCACCGTGCACTCCCCGCCCCGAAGGCCGAGATCGCCGACTCGCAGGGTCAACCTCGACACCGACTCCACGGCGTCGTCAGATCCACGAGCTCGTCGCGATCAACGCCAAGTTCTTCAGGAACGGCAACAAGAATACGCTCGTACTCGCATCGAGCGCCGAAGAGAAGCGCGGTGTCAGTCAGACCAGCGCACTGGGCCCGTTGTCGACATGCATGCGCCAGGGGAACCAGGCGACTTGCCATACGCGGTAGGTTGCCCTGCGTTTACTCGTGAGCTGCGGCAAGTCAAGTGGCCCAGTACCAAGAACTTCAAGCCAGACGTACCAGAGAAGTATGATGGCAGGTTGCATCCGTCAGAGTTCCTCAGCATCTACACCATCGCGGTGCAAGCTGCCGGGGGGCGCGATGAGAAGATCCTTGCCAACTACTTCCCGCTGGTACTCAAGCCCAATGTCAGATCCTGGCTCATGCACTTGCTGGACGACTCCATCTCCTCATGGGCGGACCTGTGTCATCAGTTTGTCGGCGCCTTCACAGGCGGCTACAAGCCCCATGGCCAGGAGAGCGATCTTCATCTGCTCGCCCAGAAGGAAGGAGAGCCCCTGCGCAAGTACATTCAAAGGTTCAGCCAAGTGCAGCGCAACATCCCAGATGTCCATCCCGCCGCGGTCATCAGCGCGTTCCATCATAACGTGCGTAACCGCAGGATGCGGGAGGAGATGGCGATGTGCAAAATAAGAGACGTCAGTGAGCTCTACGCCCTGGCCGATAGATGTGCACGTGCTGAGGAAGGGAGGAAACTCCCCGGAGAAAACACAGGAACAGGGGGGTCTGACAGTGAGGATGCTGCCCCGGCAAAGAAAAACCGGCGGCGGAACAACAGAAG